TCAGACGAACATCAGAAGAACATCAGAAGAACATCAGAAGAACATCAGACGAACATCAGACGAACATCAGAAGAACATCAGATGAACATCAGAAGAACATCAGACGAACATCAGAAGAACATCAGAAGAACATCAGAAGAACATCAAGAACATCAGACGAACATCAGACGAACATCAGACGAACATCAGAAGAACATCAGAAGAACACACCGGTGAGACGCTGAGAGAAGAACTACAGATGCTCGAAATCAGGTAAATTATAATGAGACGTTTAAAGCTTTTGTCAGGATGATGATTATTATTATTATTATTATTATTATTATTTCTTCATTTAAACTTTTGCAAATCTTATTTTTGACAAACGTGGACTAAATCAAGATAGAAACAGTTTAAAGATGAAGAACTGTGTAACTTTTCTAGCACCTTAACTCTTGGAAATGTCATTGCTTTGTGATCGCTCCAGAATGTTCCACAGTATGGCATTAAACTCCTGTCTCCACGGACGCAAACAAGTGACCAGGAAAGTTAAATAGAGCAGCTTTAATTCAGCCAACAGGAGGTTTTCAGATTGTAGACTTAAATGTGATGACGTCGCTCCCATTGCCAAACTCATTTTTTAGAGAAATTAATAATGTACTTTGTACATTTATCTGGAATAACAGAAAACTTAGGCTGTGTTCAGATGCACCTGAAGTTTCCCAAATCTGATTTTTTGTCTCCATGTTCCTGTATCTGATCTTTTAATGACGTCTGAACCACACAGATGTGATGTTTTCACATGTGACCAGGACACTTGGATCTGTGCTCCTGAAACTGATCCATATCTGATCTTTAACATGTGACTTGAGTGTGAACAGTCAGGTCACATTCATCCACCTACACGTCATCAACAAGACACAAACGTCACTANATCAGACGAACATCAGATGAACATCAGAAGAACATCAGAAGAACATCAGAAGAAACATCAGACGAACATCAGAAAGAACATCAGAAGAACATCAGAAGAACATCAGACGAACATCAGACGAACATCAGAAGAACATCAGACGAACATCAGACGAACATCAGAAGAACATCAGAAGAACATCAGAACGAACATCAGAAGAACATCAGAAGAACATCAGAAGAACATCAGAAGAACACACAGAAAACACACCGGTGAGACGCTGAGAGAAGAACTACAGATGCTCGAAATCAGGTAAATTATAATGAGACGTTTAAAGCTTTTGTCAGGATGATGATTATTATTATTATTATTATTATTATTATTTCTTCATTTAAACTTTTGCAAATCTTATTTTTGACAAACGTGGACTAAATCAAGATAGAAACAGTTTAAAGATGAAGAACTGTGTAACTTTTCTAGCACCTTAACTCTTGGAAATGTCATTGCTTTGTGATCGAATGTTCCACAGTATGGCATTAAACTCCTGTCTCCACGGACGCAAACAAGTGACCAGGAAAGTTAAATAGAGCAGCTTTAATTCAGCCAACAGGAGGTTTTCAGATTGTAGACTTAAATGTGATGACGTCGCTCCCATTGCCAAACTCATTTTTTAGAGAAATTAATAATGTACTTTGTACATTTATCTGGAATAACAGAAAACTTAGGCTGTGTTCAGATGCACCTGAAGTTTCCCAAATCTGATTTTTTGTCTCTATGTTCCTGTATCTGATCTTTTAATGACGTCTGAACCACACAGATCTGATGTTTTCACATGTGACCAGGACACTTGGATCTGTGCTCCTGAAACTGATCCATATCTGATCTTTAACATGTGACTTGAGTGTGAACAGTCAGGTCACATTCATCCACCTACACGTCATCAACAAGACACAAACGTCACTATTCTGCACTGAAGTAGAGAAAACTGTTCATGATCCATGTGACTGAAGTGAAGCACATCTCCACTCACCACAAAACACCACAAATTAAACAGGACTAAACTGGGACTAAAATTTGATAAAAATGGGACTAAAATGGCAATAAACTAGGACTAAAACTGGGACTAAAACTGGGACTAAAACTGAACTTAATTGGGACTACACTGGGTCTAAACTGGGACAAAACTGGAACTAAACTGGGACTAAAATTTGATACAAATTTGATACAAATTTTACTAAAATTGTAATAAACTAGGACTAAACCGGGACTAAAATGGTACAAAAATGTGTCTAAAATGGAATTAAATGGGGCCAAAATGGGACTAAACAGGACTAAATTGAGATTAAACTGGGACTAAACTGGGACTAAAACTGTCCAAAAACCTGGTCCTTCTCCTTCTCAATCTCCTCCTTAAAATAAGTAAGTTGTTCATGTTACAAGTCACATTTAACTGGAAATGTGAACGACCTGAAAAAACATCGGATTTCACAACAAAAAAAGGAATTGAGTGTTAAACCTGCAGACTGAACGTCGCCTTAGACTTAGAGTTAAATTACTGCACCTGCCGTATGGGGGGGGGCTCAGCTGTGATGTGTTATGTTTTACTTTTCCACACAATCCTCTCCAGCCTGAGTCTCTATTGAACAATCATCATCTAAATTGCCATTATGCCTTTTCTTCTACTCTGCAGATATTAAAACACTATTAAAAAAAACAACTAACCCTTTTCTTAAAAATACAATCAATATTTGGTTTAAAGCTCATAAGATAGGGTGACCAAACGTCCGTTTTTCCCCGGACATGTCCGTATTTTGGGTCATGTCCGGGGCGTCCGGGTTTTTTTATAAAGTGATGCAAATGTCCGGGTTTTCAGCACCGTTCACTGGGGCATTAAACTGAGCGTCTCTCGTCTGTGACTCAGAAGGAGCGAGACATAAACAGTCAGTCTGAAACATACTGAAGCACAAATGCACATTTAACAACGACTTGTACAAGAAATTCTCTGTTTTCCGTCCCGGTCGAGACAAGTGTGAGTCCATGTGCTAAAAACAACCCACGACAGGTAAAATCCACGAAGTATCAACTTTATATTTTACAATTATTCTATCTGTTTTAAGGCTGTAAAAGCTCAGCACAAACTTTATACACTTTTCTCCAACAGGACAGGAAAGTAAAAAGAAAGGCAGTAAACAGGAAGTAAAAAAGTGTTGCACACTTTTTTACTTCCTTCTTCAAACTTGTTGCTGTTGTCGTCCTTGTGTTATTTTCCTCCTTCTTTATGTAACGAACTGAAGATTCATTTATTCCATAATGGAGCCGACAGAGCAGAGTCCTGCACAGGTCCATTTTTGGAGACCCCCAGTACAACACCGCACCTGCCAGTACAGGACCGCACCTGCCAGTACAGGACCGCACCTGCCAGTACAGGACCGCACCTGCCAGTACAGGACCGCACCTGCCCATTAACCTGAGATTATATCAAACTTTTGTGCTGCCGACGCCACGGACTGAACCAAGACTAAACCAGGACTAAACCAGGACTGATTCCAGGACTGAAGAGGAGGACTAATCCACGACTGAACTAGGACTAAACCAGGACTGAACCAGGACTGAACCAGGACTGAACTAGGACTAAACCAGGACTGAACCAGGACTGAACCAGGACTGAAACAGGACTGAAATAGGACTCACTGTCAGGATGGTTTCAGAGGTGACCACAGGAGAAAGGACCGGCTCAGTTCCACACCTCACGGAATTAAACGCGACAATCTCCTGATTGCACTTTGTGGACAAACTGCTTGCCGTTTTCTCTCTTAAGTCCAAGATTAGTCCTGGTTTAGTCCTGGTTTAGTCCTGACCCACCCGTGTGTAGTTACTACCCACCTGTAATACACAATACATGTTCATACACTGTAAAAAATTGCCAAATTGCAGTGAGACACCCCCCGCCCCAGGTGTCCGGTTCAGAAACGGAAATATGGTCACCCTATCACAAGCATATTGGTGATACACCCTCCATCTCTCGATTCTCGCCCATTTGGGGTAATCCCTGGTTTGCCCCGCGCAGGGCAGATGGTGGTTTCAAGAACTGGGCAGGCCAAGGTCTGCAGAAAGTAGCAGCTTTATATGTTCAAGGTCATTTACTAACATTTAATGACATCTGCTTGAAATATTCCATCTCCCAAAAAACATTTTTTAAATATCTGCAGTTGAAACATTTCATCTCATCAAAACATTCTGACATTGTGCATGAGCCGCCGCTGTCCTGCCTGGAGGACACTGTCATGAAGCATGTGCATGGGAGACGGCATGTTTCCATACTATACGCCGCACTTGTTTCTCATGACAAAGAATCCAGCATGGACAGAATGAGAGCCTGGAGTTTAGATATCAAGGAAAATATGAATGAAGCAGAGTGGGCAGCTCCTGTTTAAAAGCTCAAACACACGATCAACACAAGATTGAAATTATTACAACACAAAAGGCTCATGAGGACAAACATCACCCCTGAAAACTTTGTAAATGTTCCCCGGGCTTCCACACACTTGTACTAAATGTTCGGCTGAGAGGGGCACCTTAACTCACTGTGTGTGGGAATGTCCTAAATTGGTCACTTTTTGGAAAATGGTGGTTTGTACCTTAAGTAAAATTGTTGGCCTTCGGGTGCCTCTCTCGGCAAAACTGTGTGTCCTCGAAATAAACCCAGACAACTTCACTATCAGCTCTAAAAGTGAGACTCTGATGGACGTTGGCCTCCTGCAGACCTGGAGGACGGCTGCTTTATCGTGGAAAGAGACTGAAGTTTCTTCTGAACCGTCCTGGATGAGAGAAATGTCTTTGTGTGTTACACTGGAAAAACTGACCTACATCATCAAATTATAGTTGTGACAGAGTGTGACAATTATTATTATTCTTTATTTATTATTTTATTTTTGTAATTTTTTAGCTTTTAAAATGTATTTAAATGTATTTATTTTTTGTTTTTAATTATTATTATTTTATATATATCTTTTTATTTTTATTGTTTTAAATTTGCCATATTGTTATTTCTTCACATTGTATGCTTATATGCATATGTGTTTATACATATGTGTATATTTGCTAGATATGGTGCACCACTTGCTATGCAACTATAAATCTCTTAATTGAAAACCAATAAAAACATTGTGGAAAAATAAAAAAAAATGTGATGATGTCATAAACCAAACATGTTCATTTCAATCCATTTCATCCTTGTTATGGCTTCAGAAATAAAGGAAGTCTGAACTCTCTGAGTCTCCGTCTGAGTTCTGATTCTCAGGAGGTTACACTCCTCACAGAGCGGGAGCTCACGGCAGAATAAATTCTGAACATTCTTTTTTTGTTCCTCAGATAAACCTACAGCGTCGCCATGTCCCGCCGCCCTCTCCTTTTCCTCTTGGCTCAAACTTTTCTTTTATTCGACATGTTTTTGTCTTTTACACTGAACAACTGCACCATGGAATTCTCTGAGACGGTGACGCTGTCCTGCCAACAGCGCCTCCTACAGAAGATACCGGACGACGTGCCTCTGAACTCTGAAGTGCTGGACGTGAGCTTCAACCAAATCTCGCAAATAAAAAACGATTTGAAACGTTTCCTTGAACTCAACGTTTTGCTCGTGACTCGTAACCAGCTGCAGCACATCGACGACGAAGCTTTTGTGAATTTAAAAAAGTTGAGAATCTTGGATCTTTCCCACAACAATCTCACAAACCTGACGCAGCTCGTGTTCGCGGGGTTACACACACTTACCTCACTGAACCTCGAGCACAACCACATTTCACAAATCGCCCCAAAAACGTTTCAGCCTTTGTTCAGTTTACACCGCGTCGTTCTCAGTTTTAATCGCATCAGTAACTTAGCAGACATCACGGCACTTTTTACACTTCCAAACATGCAGCAGATTTCTCTGACCAAGAACCTCTTAACCTCCTTTGACTCTGATGATCTTCCGTTTAATTCGTCAAATGTCACAGAGATTTCTTTAAATTACAACAAGTTACAAAACTTCAGCTTAAAACGAGATGTTTTTCCACGACTCAGTTCAGTAAAACTCACGGGGTCCCAGCAGTTCGACTGGTACGTGGCCAGTGACACTTTTTTAAGAAATGTGACTGAAATATCTTTGTCTGAAAACTTTAGTCTCGCTTCCTTCAGCGCGATCCTGAACAGCACTCGCTCTTTACAAACTCTCCTGTTGACACCGTTGGACAAACCAACAGCAAAGAGCTTTGTACAAATCGCCTGTTCGACCACATCCGTAAAAACACTCACTCTCACTTTTCTCACGCTCCGTTTCATAGACCACCAGTTTTTCCAGTCGTGTTCACAGCTTCAGGAGCTCAAGTTGCCTTTTAATAACATAGAACAACTATCGAGCCAATCCTTTAATTCTCTCACAGAACTAAAAGGTCTGGACATGAACCTGAATCAGCTGTCGAAAGTCCCTGTGAGCGTTCGGCCACTGTGGACTCTGGAGGTGCTCGACTTAAGCAGTAACTCCATCCGCGAGATCAACTGTCTCGACTTTGCCAATTTAACCAGACTGATCTCGCTTAACCTAAGGAGAAACCAAATAGTTCACCTGGAGCAGTGCTATTTCCAGAATCTGTTCAGTCTGGACACTCTGGACCTGGGACGGAACCCAGTGCACACGATTGGCAGGACGTTCGAGGTGGGTTTGTCTCATCTGCGCGTTTTACTTTTGAGCGGAAACCTGGACCAGTTCTGGCTTGGACCGGGCGCGTTCAGAAACCTGTCCTCCCTGCGCATACTGAACCTGAAGTCAAACAAATTCATATTTACAGAGTACGACGTTTTCGAGGGGATGGAGAAACTGCGGCGCTTAGTAAGTTGGGTAAGTGAGATGTCAAAGGAGTTATTCAAAGGACTGAGAGATTTAGTATTTCTGGAATTACACATGAATTCATTCGGCCCAAACACACGGACCGATCAGAACAGCTCAGACGAGACGCCGTTTTCAAACTTACAAAACCTAACACAGCTTTTGATTTTCGTGGAGCCGACATTCAGCGTTAAAATTTTTCCAGACGTCTTCCAGGGACTTCAATCTTTGGTCTCTTTAAAAGTGGACTATTTCTTCCGAGCGCCGATCCACCGCAGAACGTTCACGCACACTCCGCTCCTGACCCGCCTCTCCATCACCAACAGCGACTTCTCCTTTCTGTCCGCTGAAGTTTTCGATCCGATTCCAAAACTAGAAGAACTTGATCTCTCCAAAAACAAGCTGACCACGCTGGAATTTCTCGGGAACCTCCGCGGGCTCCAAATGCTCGTCGTCCACGACAACCATCTTTCCATCATAAATGAAACGCTTTTCCAGAGTTTTCCGTCTTTGACATATTTGGACTTATCTAAAAACGCCTTGCTGTGCGACTGTCTGAACGCCGGGTTTCAGGAGTGGGTTTGGAGCAGTAACCGGACTCAGGTGGTGGGCGGGGCCTCGTACCAGTGCATGTCTCCGGTCACCCAATTGGAGCAGAGGTTCTTGGACTTCGACACGCGCCTGTGCAAGATCGATATCGAGTTCATCCTCTTCGTGTCGTGCTCGTCAGTGACTCTGCTCACTC